GTAAATTCTCCTTCATCATGACACTTTTGTAATTTACACTTTCCCCCACTGCAGGTTAGATTGCATTTTTCAGCACCGCAGGTTTGTTCACAATCCCCTTCTTTGCAATCTAGACCCATTTCACATATTTTGACTTCAGCAGAGCATTCCTGTTTTTTGCACTTTCCCCCGTTGCAGTTCAGTTTGCATGTTTTAGCATCGCAAGTTTGTTCACAGTCCCCTCCGTTGCATTCCAGATCCATCTCGCATAACTGAACTGCATTGTTTCAATTCTGTTTGCACCCACTCGTCTTGCATTTCATAAAACAAGAACTATTACCACTGTTACACTGAAGTGGATTGCAAAGGGCATTATTATCATTATTTTTATGACAATCCGATGTACATATATTTTGTTTGCATGCATCATCACCCAGCCCAAGGCCTGAAAAAAAAAATAAATAAAAAAAATAAAGTAACACTGATGATGATTACCAGTCATGACATAAACTATGACAAGAAGAAAAGTCAGGCAAGACTTTTGCTGATAAAATTAAAAGATTTAGGCAATTGTTCAATAAAATAGGTGCATAGTTTTCATGGAACTCACCATTGCAGCAAAGTGAACACATAAACATATAGTACTACATCTTATTAGACGTTTTGTTGTGTGGTATCGTTGCCGACCTGAATTATCATCACTCAGTGAACGTAATGAACTCGTGTCCTCATGCCGCCACAGAAACGAATCGTTACTGTGCATGAGTAGTTAATTCTACCGCCACGCCTCTTATACAAATTTTTGTAGTATACAAGCGATGGTTAGAATTATTCTTATCAAAGATTCCCTGATGAGTGAACAATCACGACACAGGCCTGTGGGGATGAAAACGTAGTCTTCCTATTTTTCTAACTCAACACACTCAAAAATACTTCTGAAAAACAGCTTTGAATTGACCGCTATTGTTTATTGGACTGAATTCATAAGTAAACAAATCAATGTATATACTTAAGAACAATATAAAAATTGGAAATGGAATGAAAAAAATACGCCGAACCATTTTAAAAAAAGACTACAGATGTAGTTATTAAGCTACTAGAATCGTTAACTTATGAGAGGTTTTGAAATTCTGACTCCTCGTTGGTAAAGCATTACACCGGTATCGCAGAGGTCTTGGGTTCGAGTCCCGTGCAGGCCTGAATTTTTTTGAGGCCCTACTGCTTAAGTCGTGTTCATAACTGCGAAGATCGTTCTCGTACTAATTTTTTTCGCCGCAGTTCACATATAGGATTTTCATGTTCACAAACGTTAAGTATTTATTTATTAATTTTTTTTTCCAGAATTTGCATGTCATTTGAAGTGAGAAATCGGGCTTAAGTTTTACCATCTCCATTTGGGTATTTGCTCAAAAACTTTATATTTTTATGAAAGACTCCTGAGTTGAATTAGACTTAAAGGCTGGAGCTTATATTAAGAATACATTTCCAAATTAGCTCCTTGAGCATATCCTTTAGAATAGTTTGTCTTGTCGATGTTGTCAGCTGTGATCATAGTTAGTAGAGAGGACTGGTTAGGAAACGCGGCAAACTTCAAAGGAACGGCCTATTGTCTGTCCCCTGAGCTTCGCTTGAACGTCACGTGATCAATGACCCTGCACAGAACCAAAACAAACATGGAGGACATGAACAACCTATTTTTCTTCGGCGACGATTTTGATGCCATATTGGAAACTTTGGAGATCGAGGAAGAATACAAGAGCACTTTGTCGAAGCAGCTGACTCTGTAAGTCTTTTAGAAGCCTTTAAAACGTTATTTTCGCCCAAAAACTTTGTAGTTATTGATGCCCTTAGCAACGGCATCGGTCGTAGTACAACAACATATTTTTTTACTGAAAGTCTTTCGATTTTTAGGTTCAATACGAAGAGGGAATTGTTTGCTAGTTGTGNTTTATAAATCTTTTGAAAACAACTTTCGTACTCACTCAGGAGAGTTGTTGATAACACGAGCATTCCCCATAATTGGCAGCTTCTAGTGATCATTATTTTGTTTTCCATTGTATGTGTTGAGCAACTGTCAAGTGAACCAAAGAAAGCGTTTAGTCAAATTTGCTGTCGCTGAGGATGTTTCAAAATGTTATTTCTTGGTATGAAAGACTTGTGAGAATTATCTTTTCGCAACTTTTCGAAAGATTAGTTGGAACCAGCTGCGTTCAGTTTAGGCATATGCGGCAAATTGACCATTATGCAAATCATTAACGTCAGATCTTTCCGCTAAAATTTTCCTCCCATTTCTCCTTTTACCACCCGTTTGAAGTTTGGGTAAAACATACGTGATAAAAATGAAATAATCATTCGGATAAAGTGTTCCATCAAAAATTTTAGAACTCTCTCCATAGGGTTGCACACGACGTGTAATGACAGAGCAGAAAGTTATCTTAATCTTTTTGTTTCTAAATGATAAAGCCTCAGGCTAGATGTATTGAGTTTCGTTAGTAGTCATGAAAACAAAAATTAGTCAATGGTCATTGCTACATATACTATTTGTTTATTTAGCCAGTTTACAAAGATTTAAGTCTTTGCAGAGCGTAAGCATAACAGAAGTCACTTCCCGATAACAACTCCAATCAAAACGAGTCTATCAATAAAGATTTTTTTTCCTTTATTAATATTAGCACATATACCGGTTAAGTGGTCCAGAGCCATAAATCGTGCCTGTTTTTTTTTTCATACTCCACAAATTGTTCTAAATGATACGCATCAATTTTTTTTTTCTCAATAAAAAAGATTTAACATAGTAAGTCAAAAAAACTCTGTATGACTTAATCGTCTAAAACTAAAGGGCTAATGCTTTCCTTTACTAGGTATGAGCGGGTTTCTTATCTTCACTGCATAAATGTTTTACTAACTCATTCACAATGACGAATCGTAATGCTATACTTCCTTATAATTTTATTATAAGGAATTGTATGGAGCTCTCCGAGATACTTACAGAGCAAGCCCCGTGTGTCCTCTCATGTGTTGAACTCATCTGCAAAAAAAAAAAATTATATCGCAGTTTCTTTATTCACTTTCATTTTTTAAGAAATCAGATATAGCCAGGGAAACAACATTTTTTTCCAGAATAAACTTCAGCTCTCATTTTGAGACAGGTGGAAGTAAAACGTCTCAGCGTTTTTTTAAGTCAATCACGAGAAATTTATGAACAAAATTCCTTTTTAAGGGGGGACTGCCTTGTAGACGGTTCCTATGGGATTAGCGTCTAAAGTCTATCTACAATGGATTTTCCTTCCAAATTCTAAAAATTACTGTGAGAAGTTTTACAGTAAGGTCACCACTACTGGAGAGGTACAATTTTTTCTGCTTAACAGTGTCAATTCTTCAACTGTCATTTGCACAACGACAGGAGTTTGATAAATCAACAATGAGATGAAAGCTGAGAATTCAGATAGAAGATAGAAAGAAGAATAACATTCTGTCTTTTCGCAGAGTCCTCAATTTGTGAGGTTTTCCGAAATGTAGTTTAGATAAGTTGTCCAGTACGCATGCGTTTATTTTGATCATTCCGCAGAATCCATATCTTTCATCTAATTCAACAGGCTTGAAATAAACCTTTATTTACATGGCTGCGAAGGATTTTCACCTTAAAAATCTACTCAAGTTGAATTGGGCTTATAGCTAACATGAGTTATCTATACTGATCTCATTAATAATAATACACCGGTTTCTCAAATTACGTCCTCGTAATACAGGTAGATGAGAACTTCAAAGG